ACTCAACAATTCCCCCCCCCGCCATCGTCTCATATCAATTTCAGGTAACAAAATTCTAATTTCTATTTATTTACTAGACACTAAACTGATGGCCCCCCCCCCCCCCCCCTTTATCTCTTCCTGTTTCAGCAAACGACCGTCTCGCTCTTATAAGGACCAGTTGCACTCCTTGAAGGGATTGCGGAGAGCCTCACTCACACCTTGTCCCATACCCTCAAACCCGAATCACTAATAGTGAAGGTATGTACTCAATAATGTCAGTTTTCACAAGCAAGTTAGAGCTGCGAAGTGCCTTGGCCCTCAAATGTCTGGACGTGGTCATAATCGTTTTAGATACCACGAGGTATATCTAGGGATATGTTATAGACCGGATTCAAGGCCTGGCGAGCTCTTGTCAAGCGCGATGAGGGAGCCTCTGCTAGTATATCTACGATTATGGCTAGAGAGAGCCGTATAAGTTAGTGTCCCAAAGGATCCCATTCAAGGGAAATTATAGGATATGAGAAGCCAGGTGTCCACTCGCGTCTCGACAATCATTATTTGATGCCGATCTGGCCAAATCATATTCGGAGCCAGGGTTTCACGGTTCTTTCTGTTGTTTTCTTAATAGAACCACCTTGTCTAGTCAAGTACAATCGGTATCAATTCCTCGCTCAGACCGAACTACTTTATCTGAAATCACACATCATTGAGCTGGCGCCTACCTAACCTCGTCACATTGTTCTAGTGCCCTCTATTGTAGCAAGATTATTTTAGTCCATATAACCAACTATAGGTGATCGAGTTTGACTTAATGACTCTCTACTTTTGTTTACCCTTGCAAGGAGTGTCGTGTTACAGTGCTTTAGTAGTTCTGTGCAAAGATATTTTCAGAGAAAAAAAGACAAATTATGACGAAATCTATAGAGCGCAATTCTACTACCTGTTCTAGTCTACGATGTGACAGTGAAGTACGAACTCACAGCCTTGCGGGTGTGGCTTCAGGTGAGAACAGTGGAGGTATCTAACGAACCTAGGCTCGAACGAAATGAACACCATTTTGGGGCGATCTCGGTATGGAACTGTAAACTTGTGAGCTCTTACGGGGATGCCTAGGTTAAAGGCCGTCTTTCCAAGGACACTGTCTAGTATACCTATGACATTGTATGTATCACGGGCTCTAGTACCGGTTGCGGCATAACTTTCAAGCTGTACAGCCCAGCGACTTGAGGGCCACGAGTTTCTACGAACCCCGGATATAATGCCACTAATCAACCACTCTTGAACGAATGCTTTCATGTGAATTTAATGTTCACGTTGGAGATATTACAGCCGGTAGGGTTCTGGTATGTAGGCACGATGTTCCGTTTTATTCGCGTGGCTGCGCCAATTAATGTGATTGATACCATGAACGTATCTTTATACTTCTATCAGCTCATCGCCAATAGTCTCTCTCTACGTGTCAGCGAGACCTAAGGCCTAATATTCCGTTATACCTTTCAACTTCTCCTCCACCCACCTGTCAACACCATAAAGCCGGTTTCCATATAACTCGAACTCTTGTTCAGAAGCCTATTCACATAACCCAGTCGTATGTCTACTTTGGTGTCTATGGTAAGCATCATCTGTGCCGTACTGTCTGTTTCCCCCTGATATGTCATAGAAGTTGGCAGCCCAAAGCGAAGACGGCAAAATTGTAAAACCTGGTCAACACAGCACATATAGCCGCGGGTGACATCCTGACATGTGTCATCCACCACTCCCCCCCGCCGGTAGTCCCATGACAAGTTGGAATAGCACAGACACAAACGACAGACAAAAATGTGAAAAATGCATTAGCCGTGAATCGAACACGGGGCCCATCGATGGCAACGATGGATTTTACCACTAAACCACTGATGCTAGTCATGTGATGTGGGAGACGGCCGCGTTAAACGGCACGATGATCGACGGGGGAGGGAGCGCGGGCGGATTGGTCGGCCCCCCTCACCCCCAATTCACCCGGAAGAGCGCAACGGAACTAGTTGTCAAGTGACGAGGGGCAGCGGCACACACACGCTTCGTCGCGACAAGGTAAGAGCCGCCGTAAAAACCTGGCCACGGAAGAAGAATGCGAGGCAGGTTACATGCTGGCACACGCCATGTTGCCACCCGAGTGACACCGATTCGGTGGCGTGATCAGTTCTCAGAACCTCGTAAATGCACGTCGATGTCATGTCGCATCACGCGCTCACATAAGTAGGTAGCTCGGGGGGCAATTCGACGCGAGAGATTGTTTGGTTTGGTTGTTTTCGAAGTACACCGATTCACAGGCCTAATTGAAGCGGCTCTCGTTCATCAGTGGTCAAGCACACATCGTGGTTGTCAAGTCTTCGTGGCTCAGTTGGCTAGAGCGTTGGTCTCATATTCGTATGATTCGGTTTCATAAACCGGGCTATCCAAAGGTCGTGAGTTCGAGCCTCACCGAGGACATGTAATTATCCGATATGCACAGGATCTTAACTTTTTTTCTTTTGAATTTCTATTCTTCTATTGCTTTTTGGCGACTTGAAGGGTCTAGGTAGTTGGGTGTGAGCCTACCCGATGGACTGTGCCCAGCCTAAGCAGCACCCGACTTTGCATAGGCGAGAACGAAGATGCATGCATAACTTCAAATATATTACCATAACTACACCGTAATGAACGGGATACGCGTATTCTTATTTTAGGATTGTGTAGATATAAGAAGTCAATGCAGAATTAACCCATGCACTCTACTGATATTGATATATGGAAGCGTTACGTTATTACTCCGTACAGTTGGTTTGATTTTTGTTTTTCTGGAGACGGAGTAAGTTGGTCGACTTCCTAGGAAGTCGGTCCCTAGACAAAGTGGTTGGGTGGTCAAAGCGTGGAGCCCGCACATACAGCAGGTACCTAGGTAGCTGTCGATACTTGTGTACTATGTGGCATTATTTACACAATAATTATATTACGTACTTAGGTATAATTAAGTATCTGGATACGTGATTTTACCATGTCGTTCATTGGTCAGGATGAATATAGGGGTCCAGTACGGTCTTTCACGGTTGATGTAAGCTTGGTGACTGCATTACGGTGAAAAGGGGCTTCTGCAGTAGCTTGCAGTGTGTATTCTTGTCGACTGGGCATGTACCTATGACTGAACAACGCATGCTTCTATCGACATATGTACCGTCGGATTCGTTACGTCGACTAACCTCTATCATGTAAATGAACAAGAAGGAAGCTAGACCTAGTCTAGTGTAGGTATCTGGTGATGTACCGCATCGGATACATACAGACCTACACAGGCAATTGCTTTTCTCTGATTGGTCAGTAAATAGGCGCCCAACCCGAGGCCTTATGCCTTAGGTTACGTACTATATAATATACAGCAGGGCGATCTCCCGAAGTAGATTCGCTCCCGATAATCGCATGGGGCGTCAGCCATATATACAGATCGCAATATAGAATACAGGTATTCTCCCAACTCTACTCCTGCAGCCACGGATCGCTCAGCAGTTCCCTGGCCGTTGGGCGCTTACGGGGATCCCAGGCCAGGGTTCTGCGGATGAACTGCAGGAACTTAGACTTATCTTTCAGTTTCGTCTCGGACGCCTCCAACGTCTTTTCTATTGGTATGGGCACGAATTCCCCCCAGTTGCCTAGTAATAAGATAGTGAGATATTAGTCAGCGATTTCCAGGTAAGTATACAACTGGGTTATTTAAATACGTACCATTCTCATCCCAATACTCAAGCGCTCTCTGACGATGTCGGCCCAGGAGCTCAGCAGGGGGCGGTCCCAGCGCGGCGATGAGTTCCGCGAAGTGGGCGCCGTCCGAAAGGCTGCCGTCTTCTTCAAGGGCGCTGAATAGGTTTCTTCCTTCAAGGAGATCCCACGCCTACTAGGTGATTAGGAGGTAACTAGTCAGCGCTAGGCTAGCGATTAATTCAACTTACGGTGAGGCCGACGCTCCAGATATCGACCGCGTAACTCCACTGGATCCACAGAAGCGTCTCGGGGGCCCGGTACATAATAGGCAAAATATCGCCGGCATAGGGCCCGGGCCCCAGTCTGACTTCGCCGAAATCTGAGAGGAGGAGCAGTCCGACTTGTGGCTTCATGAGGCGGGAGAAGTAGAGGGTTCGATCAGGGAGTTCTTTGCGAGGAACGGGATTCGAAAACTCGTTATCTTCGAATGCCTTGAATTGAGAGTCGTCATTGGATCCAAGAAGTAAGTTACCCGGGTGTATATCTAATCCGTCTTAGCATCGCTCTAGTACTTATAGACGTGTACACGAATGAAAGGGGGAAGAAGCGTTGCCTACCCGTATGCACCGCCTGCACCTCTGTATGTAAGAAATCGACAGCTTCGAGAAGTTCCTTGATAGCACTTTTCACGAAATCCTCATCAAAGCCGCGTTCTTTCATGAACACCACATTCATGTCACGGAGGCTCATTTGCGAAACTTGGAGAACTAGTACGATGTGTTTCCCGTGGGCCCCGACGACTTCAAACGAGTCTAGGATTTTCCTGACATTACCGGCACCCAGATGTTTACTGGGTAGGATTTTGTCCAAGTGCTCATAAAAAGGTAGCTCGCGGTGGTGGACGGAATTATGTATGTAGACTTTCAAAGCCACATATTGGTGATTCCTGCGATTAATAGTCAACTAACCATCGCACCGGAGACGGCGAGGTACTCACTGTAAGTCACGTGCGAGCCATATCGTTGAGGAGCAGCCGTAGCCCAGTTTGGCCACAGTTTGAAACCTGTTCTCGAACACTTCGCCTAATCGAACTGGATAGAAATGATCGGGGTTGTATTCTGGTATTCCCTCTTCTTCGATGGGTTGATCTATATCTACAAGGTCAAACCCTTGGGATGGAAAGGTTCGCGGTTCCGACCGCGGACACGCCGTAGAGAACCCCAGCTTGGCTGTACGACCGCTGAATCTCCATGATGGGGCAATGTGCATGTGATGATGTAGATACGAAGCTGAAGACGATGGGAGAAGGGTTGGTGATTTTGGACGGGAGAATGGTCGCAACAGCGTCCGCCACAATGCCATGATCGCGGCTAGGTATTCCTATCCAAGTATCCAGTACACAGAGGCCAGCTATTCTTAGTAGTATAAGATTGTGCGCCAGTCAGTACCTAGATGGTAGGTTGGTGAGCTGGTCCCATGTACCTAGTTGTGTCATGCATGGTCACATCGTCAGCTCAGCGCCTCCAACGGGCTATTAATACGTAGGTACCTCATTACCTAAGTAGGTAACACAGGCGTAGCGCGTGCGTCCTCGGCGACAAAACTGCAGGGCGGGAGCGCTGGTTTGGGGGCCTTGAAGCGCGTTCTTCCCCCGTCCAGCTGACACTGTCTAGATGAAACAGTCTCAGTTGCTTCCATCCAGCCTTTGCAAAGCGGCGCCTTGAATAGGTAAATAGGTAAATAGGTTAAAGGGGTTGGATGAATGCGAGTCCCCTGATACGTGCTCCGCTTTTATTAAGCTTACGCACCTAGTTCAAACCCGTCAGTACCTACCTACCTATAGGCGACGCATGCGCACGTCATTCCAGCCTCTCCTTCAAAATGCAATATTAAACACTTTTAGTTAGATGATTACAAAAAAAAAAAAATACAAAATTGCCTCATACAATTTGGTGCCTTGCCAAGTTGCTTGACCAGGTTATTAAGAATTTCCGAGAAATAATGTGTAATAATGTAGTCAAGTAATTCAAACGAAAACAGCATAGGGACCTCTTTCCATTGTTTCGTCGAGCCCACGATACATATCCAATTACATACCTCTGAACGCCGTAGTGCGTACCCTACCATTAGGTATTGCCTTTTTTGGTAGTATAGCGCTAGGTGCGTACGTCTACGGCCTCTCTACTGTACGGAGTATATGCACGTTGTACCCTTTTCCCCAAGTACCTTATGTACAAGTACCCTGTTCCCCCTCCCAGTTCTTACCTAAGCCCAAGCAGCGAAGCATGCATGCCCTCGGGTACTCACTGGTCTGGAACCCTGGGGAGGCATTGGGGAGGCACGGTAGGCTTCTGGGGATGCCGTACGGATACGGTAGATGGTACCTAACAGTCAGGTAGGTACCTACTCTACGCCCGACCCCTGTCCTGGTCAGGTCAACTGGGGCGGGTCCCTACTGCCCAGGTGCCTTCTGTAAGTAGGTAGTCATCTCGCCCAACCCCGTGTCGCCTCGACCCCATCCATCATCCCTCATCGTCCCTTTCGAAACGACAGCGGCAAAGCCTTGTCTGGCACTTCGGCTCGCCTGTGGTTCATGGTTCATTTCCCAACCTTCTCCCTCTCTACACCCGACCGCCGACCGACGGGTAGCTTCCCTGGCGACCATACCGATCACCCTGCGTCCCGACACCGCCTCCGCCGCCTCTTTGTCGTACCATTCCTTGCCGAGTGGAGATTCAGTTCGCACCTAGTGTAAACCTCGCCGGACCAGCCGTCATCGCCTCCATCGGCTTGTTTGTCCGGTCCATTGTTCTCAGAGCGCCCGCCTCCAACAACGCAAGACATTGTTTATGATGGCCATGTCTTCGTACCACTTTTGCGATTGATCACATATACCGCTGCTACTTGTCCAGTCTGTCGTCCGCGGCCTCTTCTGCTCACATTGCTGCCCCCCGTTTACGATCCCGCCGCCCATCCCAACGCCATAGACGGAATATCCCCGAACCACTCTTTTTATCTTGTTGGCTACGTCTTGGGCTGTCCCAGGTTCTTTTTATTTTGTTGTCCATAAACAATCCCATCTTGGTATGTCAGCAAGTCTCGTTATACAGCCTTCTGTGTCTCGATAGGGCCTCAACATACGGGAATCAGAACATGCTTCATGCTATACCTACACTTGATGTTTCATTTAGTGTATGGCGCATAGTTACTGATACCGTCTAGATAGCGGTACTTTGCCGACTTAGCATCTTTGCCATCGTACGAGCTTAACTTAGCGACGCGGTCTCTACGCTGGCCACCGAATAACAGCGAATGATATGCGAATGATTAGCGCACCGACAAACATGGACGGGTACGGCCAAACACTTAGCTTTTCGGATCGGAGGGGAAGCGTTATGAACTACGGCGATGAATTGACTCTGAATATGCCCACCACTGGCCCAGTCATTGTAAATCAGAGGATGGATAAGATGGCCCAACCGAGACCTCGGGGACCGCCTACGCCAAGCATGAGCACACCAGCGCCCGAATTTGACCAACAACCGCCTACCGGTTCCCCTCCCCCACCGCCCACACCAGCCGCTTCTCCAGGCCCGACTAATGCTCAGCTGGACTGGAGTGATGCTGCCGATGACGAAGACTTCTTCCTTGCTCATGTTCGCCACAATTTCAGGGCGTCCTCTGGGCCACGCCGAAATCGAATACTTGCCGACTTGTTGAACATGTGTACGACCCAGCAACTGAGCTTTGTACACCAA